GGAGGCTTCTTTCCAATTCTGCCGATGTGCTCTGACCATGCCTTGGCATTGACTCTTTTGAAGGACCTGGAGGCGGAATTATACTTCTTTTTAAAAGCGCTGGCGTTTACATCACGAGACGTTGATGCGTCAGCCCAGGCCCGGTAGCACTCCTGCTTATAGCATGATGCTATTTTGCTATTTTACAGGAGTGATAAAACCATGGCTGTTACCTGCCTCCGATGGGCACCACAGAGGATGGAAAAAACAGTTCTATAGCATGAAGTACCACATCAGTGACATAATCAGCAACCAATCCCATCCCAATCGGCCGACATATAGTGCCAAGCACGGCGGCAGCCTGCAGAATGCAACCGCAACGTTAGTGTGAGTGGCACTATACTCTGTACAAGAAAATGGTGTGACGAGCCCAGAGGGGCGTTGATGGAAACCTGATATCCGTCCAGATGAGAGGTCAGCAGAAGATACAACAAGGAAGCTGCATGATTCTCCACATCAGGAATCCACGTAGGCATCAGTAACCAGCTGTGTAAGACCATCTCTGCCAAGGCAAAGTCATAAACAGATCTCCCCGCATGATCGGTTAAACGTGAACCGAGCCATTCAGCATAGTGAGTGTTAAAATCGTCAAGGATCACGATCTCTGCGGATGGGATCTGCTGTAGCAAGGAATCTGTAGCCATTTGGACTTGGGCGATGAGTTGGTTTGTTACGTAATTAGCGCTATGTGATCTATAGAGACACACGTAGATGCGAATGTGGTTTACGCTGTATACGTGCAGCCATTGGATGGACAGGTCATCAAGACTACCGAGGCGTCGAAAACAGATATTCTCTCTGACGTATACGCAAACTCCATCCCGGGGCACAAAGGAGTGTTCTTATTTGTACCCTGGTTAGGAGAGATATCAGCGATAGAGATATCGTCAGAGAATGAGCCGGTGAGTACACCTGAGTCTCGGTTAAAAAGAACAAGGCCGGCTTCGCTGTCTCCAGATGGTAGTGGACAGCGTTGAGGTTGGAATTAAGTCATCTGATGTTGCAAATGATTCCGCTACCATGTTAAGGGTAATTGGGCTTCCATTCCATTCTTAAATCTCTACTTTAAGCTGATATTTCGTGAGGTCGTGGCACCACCTCGGTTCAAGCCAGCCAATTAATGCGATAGCAGAAGCTGCCGCGTGGCTCTAATACTGTTAGAATGCCACAAATGCCAATATGGGTTACCTCTGGTTCTTGCCTTGTGGCACGCCACTTTCCAGGCGCAAGATAAGGTCATTTGACCTATTGGGGTCACCGTCACATACCATCTAGTGGGGGTTGCTCTACACTTCACTTACCGATACAAAGCCTTTGTCGTATTAGTAAATGGCTCAATCAAAACGTCCTTACACTTAATATTTCCAAAACTAAATATATGCTATTTACAATCATTCAGCAGACACTACCTACTGAACAAACTTTCGAAATTAAAATACATTCCTGTCTAAAAGGGCATTCTTGTCAATGTAATATACTTAACAGAACTAAAATCATACGTTATCTTGGAGTTTTGTTAGATGAAAATCTTACTTGGAATCCACATATAAAATATATAATAGAAAAAACAAGAAAATTAATCTTCATCTTCAAAAAACTACGATACGTGGCTGATGCTACTACATTAAAAATGGTTTATAGCGCCTTAGTTGATTCAATAATAACGTACTGTATCACATCATGGGGTGGAGCTTCTGAAACTTATCTACTAAATCTAGAAATAGCCCAACGAGCGATATGAAAAGTTATGACATCTAAACCTTTTAGTTATCCCACAGTAGATTTATATTCTGAATACGATGTCCTCTCTCTCAGGCAGCTATTCATAAGGAATACAGTAACCGATCAACATCTGAAACTTGAATATGACCATAGCCTCACAATAAATAGACTGAAGCATAAAGTATGTAAAATAAACCGGTACAGAACATTTTTCATTCATAATTATAACTGTTATTTGGGTCCTATGCTTTATAATAAATTAAATTCTCAATATATAACATAACACTTACCAATGTAAAAATATTATAGTGAAGTGGTTAAAAAAACTTATGATGATACAGAAAAATTATTTGCAATTGTTAAGTAAATAAATCATAAATGACTCACACATTTATTAAATAACTTACATCACACAAATATACATACACACTTGAAATAAATTTAATATAAAGTCATAAGTGCTAATAGACCAATATAATAATATTCAATTAATACCTACGAATAAATAAAAAATGTAGTAAAATTGACCACATAAAATAACTAACTCATTTACATGTTTTAAAACTACTGTATTAAAAAAAATATAATATTAATCTACTATAAATATGTTAATTTAGCTAAAGTTCATTGTATTAAGTGGTCTAGCCTTAGCTTTCCTAAAAATGTTAACTTTTTTTTAATTTATTATCCATAATTTTGTTACATTATCCAGTACAATACTAGCATATTATAAACCTCTAGGGGTTTATCTACGCTAGAGAGTCGTCTTATATAAACAAAGAAGTATTAATATTAAATCACATTATTCTAACAGAAGTACCTACTACAATAAGTATGGTTGATTTAACAAATATAATTTAAGCTTACTTTTAAACATTTTGGATTTGTAAGTTTCTTGTAATTCTATTAGCAATTCATTAATAAAAGTAGGTAAAAGATGGGCGGATTTTAGGCTCCATAGAAATTTTTAGTTTTCGGAAGTTCATACATGTTGGATTTATAAGCTATATTTCGTAGATTTACAGGTCGTTTTTTAAGAAGTAGATATTCTGAATTATTAACTTCCGTCAGTATATTAAATTTAACTTTATCGAAAACATTCATGACTTTGCAGTATTTAAAAAGGCCCTGGTCATTTTCTATGTACTTATTTTTAATGTGATTAGGCACTATCCATCGAAGCATCTTGCGTTGTAATGTGTAAATTTCCTGTATGTACGTTACATAAGTTCTATCATAACTGCTAAGTCCATAACTAATGACGGAATCTGCTAGAGCCATATAAAGTAATCTAAGTATTTTATACGGTAGCTTAAATTTTAAAACATAAAGTTTACTCAACACAGAGCGAAGTTTTGCACACACGTGATCTTTACGCCCTCTCCAGCAGAATCGTTCATCAATAATCAGACCAAGATACATGTGATTTTTGACATTTTCAATGGGTTGGCAATTACAGTGTTGAAGTATTCCATGGAGACATTCATGGCGTTCAACTTTTATGGCGGTACTCATAAAAATATAAGAATTGAATATCAATGTTAACTTTAGTATAAAACTAACTTTTGTTGTCGTTATTGTTATTGTGTTTTGTCTTTGGTGAATATAAGTTAAATTTAGTGATATAATATATTCTGTGTCATGGAGGAAGGAACTGCCGTCTGTGATACAGGCTCGGCCTAGTACAGCCAGCAGTAACCGAAGTAAGCAACATAAAAATTTGTAAAATGTGTACATAGCTTATTTTAAACATATTGTAAAAAAGCATATTGTAAAGGAAAGGAATGTAATTATGCTAATAAATTTTAAGTTTAAAGCCGCCGTTTGAGTGTTGAGTGTGTCCCAGCGCTGCTTGTCTATCTCTTCTTCCAGCTCCAGAATCTTGTCGACAGTCCTCAGTGTGCGTGCGTAATATTTTCCCAGGTTGAGTCGTCTTAGGTGGCCACCAGAGATTTTAGCAGCACATGCCCCGCCGTTACCATGGTTGCAACCGTAACCAGGAATAACAGGATCGCCGGGGACTGGGGGACATCTATTAGTATCTCTCGCCATCGGTTCTTGAGAATATTATTACTCAATACTCATAAAATTATATTAAATAATTGATCGACTATTTATTTATTGTTTCTGTTCCTATGTTTTTCCTTAATCTCTACATCATAAAGCTACAAATAGAAAGATAGGTAGGTAGGTAGGTAATGATCCGTTACATCAGAATCTATTAACATATATTACTTGGTGAGAAAAAATTGGAGTGCACTTGCTCATCTAAAAATGCTCTAAAACATTCTGATAGAGTTTTCTTATTTAAATAAGTTAGTGTTTCTTGTTTTTTGTTTTAAGTTTTCACAATTCCAAAGAAACCGGAGGAGAGTTTGAAGGAAGTAGGGAGATAGTTACGGGCTGTGAGTTATTTCATTTTAGATCTTATTGGTGAGAACACACTTTTAGCATTCTTTGATTGAAGTTGGTTACAGGTGTCCATAGGCTGCAGTTACACAGAATACTATAATACACAATAGAGTGGCTGTCAACTTTATTTAGTACGAGGATCGGTGAAGCTGGGAGCGCACATACAAGCAATTACGTCGTATTATAACTACTACAAACCAGATTCTCTGTATTGATAGACTGAGGGAATTTAAACATTTTAGACTTTTGATAATGTTTTCGACATATATATTCTTTATTTTTGTTTCTAATATTTACAAAATATAAATAGTTTCGACTTGCTGGTTGTAGGATATGTCACTTTTATTGAAATTCCATTTACAGCTGATCTTTCGACACGTAATTATTGCACAATTTGGCATTTTTATATAATTTTCATGCAGTGATGATTGACACGAAAATTGAAAGTGATTGATTGTGTTGACATTTATAGGCGTGAATTGATATGTTAGTGGCTACACGGGCGCTATCCACTCCCGCGTTCTATTATGTATGTATTATAGTATTATATGTGCAGTAACCACACACCACGAGTTAAGCTGAAAGTTCGTTTAGAACTATTTTTTTTAAATATTCAAATGGGTTTCTAACAGTAGAATTCAAAAAAGCTAACAAATAGAATACTCCTCCAAACAGTGTTCCTCTTTTCGAATTCTAGAAGCAACATGAATCTTCGATTCGAATTTCATCCTCAAACATTTCTGCTATTTAAATTCTAATGGTACAATCAAGCAAAACGATTCTCAATTATTTGTTTTTGCTAAGCTAACATTCTCACAGTGGCAGGCATGTCAGACGTCTGGGTGGAATTACGAGCGCCGCGCTTCGTCGTACACCGCCACAGCGCCGTCCTGCGTTGCGAGCACAATGTTGATCCAGAGTCCCTATACAAGGTACGTAAACAATCTAAATGACGTTACTGTTTATGTTTGCTACTACTTCAATAGAGCAAACATTTTGTGTAAATATAGATTCAAAACATTCTCCCTCGATAACGTAAAATTGTTTGATTCTGCTTCACTTATATAGTGGTCGTTAGCTTGACTACTGATACTGTGCTGCACTGGTCCGGGGTTCGAATTCTGGGTCGAACCAAAATCTGTTATTGGGTTTTTCCTCCAAGAAATTCTCAGTAGTAGCCCGTAGACAGGAAAGTTGATGGTATTTTAACCCTCTGATGATCTCTATCTCTCTGGTCGTGTCAGATTGCCGTCCTATCGGACCATGAGAGTGAGATAATAGAGAACGCAACTGTGTTTCCGCATAGTACGCTCGTGCACTTACTTTACTTACTTACTTACTACATTTTACTTGAATTGAACTTGAAAAATGAAATTTAAAATTGAAATTCAGTCTAGAGGACATTCATTATTGTTCGGTGTTTTTAAATAGCTCTATGGTAAAATTTTTAGTAATTATATAATATAGGTAATGCAACCTTGACCAAATTGCATTGTGTTTAATGAGATATTATCTGTAACAGATAAAAATAAATTTAGAGACTCCAAACAAAGCCATTACGTATGGTATTGTTTTCAGATCGTATTATTGATAAGTATTTAATTGATTTTGTGTTTTAAATATTATAGCGGCGTAAAAAATGATCCATTTAGTAACATTCCGTAGGCGTAGTAAAAAGAGTAAAAATTCGATGGCCTTCGACGATTGAAAGTATGTCAATCAGAAATAGGCCGTTATCTAATATATAGGATATTTTGGGGTGGCAATGTTTTAGCATATTTTCTACACATTATTATTTTTTGGCACATTATAGCGCATAGCAAGCAATATTAAAAAGTTAATAATATTAGAAAAAAATTACAGCATGCATAAAGAAAAAATAAAGTGTAGACATATTAAGAACTAGTAAGAAAATATGTATTAAATATTTGCCATGTAGTGGCGGTGTTAGAATATCCACTACCCCATATTACCCCTGGGTGTCATAAGGGGCGGTAAAGGGAAACAAATAAGGAGATGAACAGCAGCGTTATTCTTATAAAAATAAAAAACTACTGTCGCCAAGCGTGGCAACTATTCTAAATATTTTCTGTATGAGGCAATCTATGGGGTTGGCTTAAGTTCAGTTGTGAAATTCAATAGGCTGTCACGGTAATAAAATATGTACGAATTAGGTAAGGTGATTCCTTATGAATTTTGTAGTATACATTACAGGCTCCATTGAAATTACTGATAGCATTCTAAACGTTCATTGAAGTCGTGCTTTAAGGTTCAAAGGAAAAATTTTATGTTTCCTTGAACTACATCTCTTAGAAGCTTAAATATTTCGAGGACACATCAATATCAACTCGCGTCGGGGCAGTCTGATTGACTTTTCCTGCCCTAAAAACTCTGCTATAAATAAGATATGAATGGAGGTGGTACTTAGTATGGGATGCATACAGATTGTATATTTGTTTTAATATTACATACAAATTAAAACTTGTATATTTGGTGAAATTTCTATTAAAAGGGATCCTTATTTCTGAACAGGTAGTGTTTTTTAAACATGGTCAAAGGATAATGAAGTACGTTCGCGGCCGAGATCCACCTTTTGAACTTTACAATTTCACTGGCGCTGATATAAATGTAAGTAGCCTTCTTATAACATATTATAAAATATAATAAAAAAAATATTCAAGGCAAGGCTACTCTTGGCGGCTACTTATAAACTGACACTGATGGTGTTAAATTCCTTGAAATAATAAAATGTTTAAATAAAGCAATTATGATTTTACAGAAATCTATCATGCATTAAAATAATTCTTTTTTGTTGTTGTTGTAGTTAATACAATTAACACCCACATCGATAACACTGGAGAGAATGGACTTTTCAGCGTCCGGTTCGTACGCTTGCGAGATAGCACTGGAGACACCTTTGTATTCCAAAGTGTCTAAATTGCATGAATTAAATGTCATAGGTGAGTGGTTTCTGGCTATTTATAAATGACCACCTTGTTGTAAATCCGTGGTAGCTCAGATGGTTAACGCTCGCCGTAAATATAACAGAACGCGATAACCCGGGTTCGATTCCCGCCGGCACCAATGAAAGTGTTAATTGCAATTTTAAGTGATGATTTACCAAGTGCTCGGTGAAAAACATCGTGAGGGAACCTGCATATCTGAGTAATAAGAAAAAAATATTTCGAAGATATGTGAAGTTCGCCAACACGCATTAGGACAGCGCGGTGGACACTTCCTTGCCCTAAACCCTCTCAGAAATGACGAGAGACCTGTGCCCAGCAGTAAAACGTATACAGGCTGACTTATAATATAATAGCTGCTCGGGGCAAGCTGAGCAACAAGACCAAGGCGACCCCTGCTACGCTATTTACGAATTTCTGCAATATCAGGGGACTTCATTCGAACCTAAACGCCATCCACTACAATCTCAAAACGACAAAGCTGGCTCTGTTCTTTCTGACCTAGACGCAGGTGTCTTCTCCGGCTGATACTTCGTATTTCTCTTACCGGGGGTAGATACCGGAACACCCCTTTGTGCTTCGGGCTAGAGTATGCCTATACGTCAGAGAGGACATCTGTTATAGTGTCTTATATCTGGATATAAGAACTTCTTTATTATTAGTGGTTCGTTTTCAATGAGTTGTTAGCATTTGTTTAAAAACCTGACTTTTCTATGAACGAGTTTATTTTCATACTAATTTTTTCAAAATGAATAATGTCTGGATTTATTATAAAGGTGTATAGAAGAATTGCAATGATGTAATATATAACCAGACAACTTATATAAATAAATAATTTTCGTTAATTTGCCGGACAGTAAAGTAGCAATAACAATGTTGTTTTATTTAATCTAGTGATTTAATTCGTTTTCTAGTCCGCCAGAAATACCGTCCAAAAATAAAAATTAAACACAAGAAGTTGTCGTCCAACGAGAATCTAGAAGCAACATGTCAAAGTGCACCCGCCCATCCAGCCCCACATCTTACATGGTTCATTAACCATATGAAGGTATGTATTGATTTAAATAATTTTTATTTATTTAAACTTCGAATTCTAAAGTTGCTGTCACTCTCTTTATAACACTTTATTTATAATTAAAAAGTAATGACCTTAGTTTTTTGCAGTTTCTTATCACTGATCTCATTTTGGGTGCGTTTGGCAGAAAAAAGCGCTAGCAAGCGCTTGTAAGCAAAATGGCGATCGTAAGCGGTAAGCGCTGTCAAATCGTAAGTAGCCATTTTCCTCTAGGACACGAAGTTAGTTTTAACTGGGGAACCTAACCTAATTTAAATATATGTTTGTAAAGTATTCATATTAAAAACTTACCAATTATGAATTTTTAATAACATGTATAACATGTTTATTCATGTCATTATATTACTTAAAACTAATATTGCTCAGAACAACTTATAAGCTCTACTTCAAAACAAACAAATTAAATAAGCAAAATGGCGGATTGCGTCAGCGCTACTGAAGTAGCAATCGTGTCCCGGCCGAAAACTATTTCAGCGCTTGTAAGCGCTTGCTAGCGCTTTTTTCTGCCAAACGCACCCTTTGACTTTCATAAGAAATTTTACCGTGTAGTGGCAATGCAAGAATATCCACTGCTCCATATTATCCCGTGGATCGTGAGAAGTGAGAGATGGAACAAATCAGGAGATTAGGGCCAGCTTCTTACTAAAAACAACTAGAGAATGAACGCTTGCTGTTACCAACCCACCTGTCGAGGATGGTAACTATGAAAAATGACAAGGCAATTTTTTTTTATAGGATAGGGTGACAAACGTGCACACAGTCCACATGATGGTAAGTGGTTGCTGCGGCCCATAAACATCTACATGTATCCTCAATTACAAAACAAAATGTGGATGCGTTGTTACCCGTGAGGACTAAGATGGAATGCCTTGTTTACAGTAAAAAGGGTCTCCGGTTCTCTACACTCACCATACTAAATACAGCAGCATTAAGCTACTATTTCACGCTGGTATTCTGTGAAAGCGTGGTCCTTCCCCGGTTGAGCCGACCCATTCGTGCTACAACTATACTACTAATATAATTGCAGCATGGCTCTACCACGTATAGAATCTAATCTAATCTAATCTTTTAGTACGACACGATAATAACGTAGAGCCATGTTGCGGATATAATATAATTGTAGCGCGAATGGATCGGCTTGAATGGAGAAGGACCACGCTCTCACAGAATACCAGCGTAAAATAGCAGCTAAGTACTGCTGTGTTTCGGATGATATATGTAGAGAACTGATGACACTTTTTATTTATTGAAGGATACATGTAGACGTCTTTGGGTCACAGCATCTATTTACCATCAGGTAGGCTGTGCGCTTACTTGTCACACTTATCTGTAAAAAGGGGGTTTAGTTCGTAGCAGACTTTGATAGGCTTTAAGGAATGAAGAGATTAAATTAAACTATAACAGAAGTAAAATAGTTGTCAATGTCCAATTCAAAAGTATTAGTTTAAAAAAAAATTAATGCCTATTAATACAGAATCAAATTGTGAATTTACGTAATTAACAGGTGGATGAAAGGCTGATCGAACCGCACGGCACTTGGAACGTCCATCGTCACCACCATGGTATGCCACTGTCCTTGACTAACTCGTCGCTTCACTTCCCGCTATCAAGTCTACAGCAGTTTCCAAATCAGACCGTTGAAATCACCTGTCTCAGCACGATACCCAGCTATGCTAATGTCGGCGAAGGTTTTGCTGATTTACAAAATCATACGGTCACTGGTAAGAATATATTTATTTATTTATTGTTATAAGTTGGAGATAAAGTCGAAAAGGCTCAATAAAATCTGAGATAGATAAAAATATAAATTACGGCGAAATGTTTAATATAATTATTTTTCTTGAACGAAACGATTCTTTTGAAGGATTTAATTTCAAATTACGTTGTACTTTAAAAAAATAAGAATAAAGAAGAAAAAAGAAAAAACGACAACCGATGAGCAAAAACGGTTCTCGAGTGACAGCGTCGTACAGATAAGTTTGGGCAACCTCCCACTTGATGGGATCATGATCTGGAAAGAGATGCATACTTGTTTCAACTCCTATCATTGATAAACCCAGGTGGCTCAGGACTGCAGTTTGTGGCATTCCTCGGATTAAGCCTAAGTTCAATAAAATTTGTGATGGCATGTAATAATAACGCTGATAATTATAATTAAAAAAGGAGTCCTTAACTATAAGAATCTCTACTGTGAAGTCATAGTGTTTTATAAATAATTTGCACATGAATAAGCACCCAGATTCGAAACAGTTATTTGTTATCTATTCAAATAATCATTTCGTGCTAGAATCGAATCCGTTGTTTACAGTTTCAAAGCAAAATGTTTAACCAATGCCTATCGGGAAAGTATTGTATCTTTTCAGTGAATGTCATACGTATGGAACCACCGCCCACTCAACTTCCGGTTAAGATCATCAGCCCCGAGCAAAACTCATCGAATCGCTGCGAACTTCGACGTGCACTCATTGTTCTGTGTTATTTATTGTACTATTTTACCAACTCGTATTAAACGTGCTACTGTGTGAAAATTGGAGGAAATAAGGAATTGCTTCGACGTTTAAATGTGTGCCCGTTCAATGACCACAATTATTTACACACTAAGCTTTGTAGATTTTCTGTTATTTATTTCAATTTAAGTAATCTGGTTGTTTCTGTATTGTTCATTCCATCTTTACATGCTTTATATCAGATTGATCTCTATGTATGTATGAATGTAATGGAATTTTGTAATTCAGTTTTTACCCACTTTCAGACGTCGAAATAATTTAAAATTTTGCAGACGTATTATCAATACGATAATTTAATGACTATAAATTAGTGTTCTCACTAAGATCTACACAGCTCATGATCAATGCGTGTTGTTTTATGTTTGTTTAATAAACATCATCTTATATTATTTAATTGAGTTAGTTACTGCTATAATAAAAAATAACAATTGAGAGATGTCATTTTAATCTTGTTAATTTATATAAATATCCTACTTATTTAGGCAAAGTTTGAAATCAGATTATTGAAATGCTCTCAGAGGTGTTGCCAATAATTAAATTCATAATAATTAGTAACACAATAACTAGATACCATAATTAATTCGTCATATTCCAATATACATGATTTATCCACGTGTATTAAATATAATTTACGATATTTTGGTATTTAATTTGTATAGCACTAAATTGAATAAGTTTTAAGAGAAAAAAGCAACAAATAACATACTATTAATTGTATGAATAATAAATCACTTCTGATGTTTTTCTAGGTTCTTTAGATAGCTAAAATCTGTTTATATAGGAGGGTGGTCTAAAAAGTTTCCGATCTAACAACATTTTTTCTTAAAATTTATTTTTATTTTCTACATAGTCTCCTTACTTCCTCCTAACGCCTAACTCTAGGTTGTTGCCTCTTCATTTAACGAAAATGTCTGTCCTCCGGGCGCAATTTTTAGATGAGGGAACAAAAAAATGTCGCTTGGCTAGATCTGGTAAGTGAGGTGGATGGATGGTCAAGCAGTTCAAACCGTAATTTGTGATTCGCCTTGGCAACCGCTGAGGTGTGAGACGGTGCGTTGTCATGTTAAAGCATTGTTTTCTCTTTCTGCAAATGTGGATTTTCGCAATTTCTGTCTTCAAATGTGGATTTTCGCAATTTCTGTCTTCAATTTGTCAAGTTATTCGTAGTATGCTCCTGTAATGGTTTTTACTTCTTAAAGATAATCGATAAAGATAACTCAATGACTATCACAAAAAACAGTCGCCAGTTCAGAGCCGGTCTCCTTTTGAAGTCCATTATTTTGACTGTATTTTTATTTATGGCGTATAATGGTGTATCCAAGTTTCATCCAGAGTAATTAATTGGCACCAAAAGCTCAGATTTATTGCACCTAAACTGCTCCAAATCTTGATTTAATGTATGACAAACACATTTTTAGGACATTTTCATAGTATTTATTATCACTGTCACTTTAATTCGGCATCTAGTCATCTAGCACCATTTGGTAAACTTTGGCAATGTTATTGTCAGTAGTTTCAGTTTGAGATGTCCCGAACGTCCATCGTCTTCGAAGCTCTCACAAGCACGGTTAAATTCAGCTGCCCGAAATTTTACTGTGGTAAATGATGGTGCAAAGTCCCCATATACATGGTCCGACTCATCTTTGATTTGTGTAGGCGTATTGCCTTTAAAAAACAAAAAAATGTGACAGCTCTATACATAGTCTTATTCATTTTTACAAAAACACTCACATCTACTCAATCAAACGACTTTCAAATAACAACTAAGCGTCCAATATAGGTAACATTCACTAGCTTTTCTTGATGAGTGCTGCCATCTTCAAGTTGAGGTCGGAAACTTTAGACCACCCTGGTAGTCCATTCAAATCCAATAAAATGCGAATTTTCTTTAGAATTACAAATTTCATAAGTTATAAAATATTAAGTTTTATATTTTATGGAAACACAAAATATATTTTGCATTGGTTTCAATTTCTTAAGCTGTACACATGTTATATCCTAAATTAGAGGGCCCAAAAATTGTATAGCCGCGGATTGATGACATAATTGATTGACAGTTCAAATCATCTCACATAAATGAAGGCAACAAAACTTATCTGTAAAAATACTGCGTGACTACTAAAATAATTGTCACTTCAATTATAATTTTTTTCTTTTTTTGATTATAGAACCAACAGCACGTTATAAATATAAACAGAAGTTCTCAGATAATCCATAATGCCAATAACAGGTTCTTACTTTATAAAACATATACATACATACTATCGCTTGTTACTGTTGACATATTAATTTTATTTATTATATAGTGCTTAAATATTTAAAAGTTATTTCAAGAATAGTATACGACTGATCGTTATTTTCACTGTTTCGTTAGATTTTAGAGTTACCTTAAATTTTATTTTTAATTTTTATTTTGAAAAGGAATAATTAAATAACATTCAAAGAAATGCCTAAAATAACCGGCAATATTCTTATCATTGTGAAAAATTACAACTGTTTATAATATTGCTATTTGAATTAGTTTTTCTACAGAATAGCGGATTCTCTTAAAGCCTTATTTTTATATTTAAAACCGCTTTGTTTTATTTTACGAGCTATTTTGTAAAGAACGAACATTTTTTGCTTACGGAGAAAGAAACGTTTTTCGAATGTTGTTGTAGTCGGGTATTACACGAGTACCGCTACTACTCGGTTACGATTGTAGAGCAAACACTGATTGTTAAATCAATGCCGTTTATATTTATAAATATGAGTGTTCTATTTCGATTTTTCGAACAATCGCCCAACACGTTTAACTATCGTCACCCAAATATTCATTAATTATCTACGGTTCAAACTATATTTATTTCAGCTATTATTCGATTCGTTTTTAACCAAATGACTGTTTATTTATAATTATACTGTATTTTTTTTTTACAAAAAGAAGGCAAACTAATGATAATAAGCCGCGTATCGATTACGAACCTTGGCGTGCGCGCTATGAATGACCGCGCCGACCAGTGCGTTCAGCGGAACGCGTTCCAAATGTTCGATGTATATCAGCTAAGTGCGCCTAGCGCGCGCGGCAGATGTTCTACTGTTTAGCCGTTCAACATGGATATCGGTCATGATAAGCAGCTGCCATTTTCATAGTTCTCTCCATGCATCTTCAAACCAAACAACTGTCTCAGCCGGCTCGCGCGCCGTAAGTTAACTACTTTGATACGCGTTAAAAACCGACATCAGATGAAACGGCCCGCTCCACGTTTGAGCGTTCCAGCGAACAATTTTCAAGCGCGCGTTACAAGGTGGTATCCATTTCACGCGGCTGGAACACGCTCCGATGTTCGACCTCTTGGAGCGCATAATCGATACGCGGCTTAAGGCGATGCTACTTGCCTAAGCCGTTTTTAGGTCAATATAGCTTTTCCTAGGCTAAGCTAGTTTTACCTAAGCACGACAGTATCAACCAGATTACTGATATAATTTCATAGGTGCTTTTGTTTTTTGACATTTTAGTTTACTAGTCTTACAGTATAATATTTATTTTTGTACATTTCTTATTATCATTAAAAGTATAATCTGCCACACCCGATTTTTTGAAAAAGTGAAATCAGCAGAAAATAATTACAATTAAAATGTTCATTTAGCTGTTCTATGTTAATGTACTAAAACAAAAATAAGTCATATTTAAAAGTGTATAAGTTTTTTAATATTTTTAAGTAAAAATTAACTAACAACTTATGATTTTACTTTGTTTTATTATTTACGATTTAGATAATCTAGCACTATTTGCGGTTATTTTTATATATTTACGCGCAATCATAAGACTGACGTAGAAATATAGTTGTGACAATCTTGATAATTTCTTAAAATATTCAAATATAATTTACATTTTATATAGTTATCTTCACTAGCTTAAAGGGATCTTTTTTTATTCTAAAATACAGATTTAATAAGCCCCTATCCGTATGTATACTTTAATCAGTTATACGAGTATATGAATTTTGTTCCATATTATATTCATCATATTTATTAAGTATCAAAAATATCATTTTTATTTAATTTTCTAAAGGTCAATCGTTCTTGGTTGGTTAGCAAATTGTGACTCTTGATATTTTTTCTTTGAGAATCTTATGTTATAAAAGCAATGCAATTCGTCTTACGCATAAACCATGTAAAAATTACATATTAAATAACATGAGTCGCGAACTATCGATACTGTGAGATAGCTTAATTTTTCATTAAATGTTATTTAAGTTATTATTTACATTAAAATGTAAAAACAAAAGTACGATCTCCTATTTTATAACGATTGTTGTCAATTAAGAAAATTATACATATAAATATAAAAAAATTCATGTGACAAAAATTTTTCAAATTATTGTTTTATTTCATACAACAAGAACTTTCTAATTTTAAGAAATGATTAAGATTAAAAGTAAAATAAATTTATTAAAAATATGGACGCATGGATTGATATTATTGTTATTTCTTTCGTTCTGTCAATTCATTAGCTGCCTTTGGTTTTGTAATTTTTATGAGCAATTATGTAACTAAACATATCATTAGGAGTGAATATAAATAGAGATTTATACATATTAATGTTGTGTGGATTCATAAAATTGTAAATGAAGGTTTCTTCGTGTATACTTTTGGTCTGTTGTCAACGTGTCTACGTGAATTTATGTGATAAATGTTTAAGAAGCTTTCTTATGCGATCTGAATTCTCTTAGTGAGAAAGCTTGGTCGACAATTTTCCGCGGTTTTCTTTTACTCCAGAACTTCTTTTCAAGTGTTTTGACCATTCATATCCAGTGCGCTTTCGATGTATTAAATGTTGTAACAAATGTGTTGCTTCCATTGCTTTGATAACTGTGAGGAAGGTAAGAAAATAATGTTTTTAATATTAAATCATTCCATTATTTCATTGTTAATTTAAAGAAAAAACATCTTTTACACTTATAGTTTTTAAAGTAAAATTTGCTTAGATGAAAGAATAAAAATTCTATTTGTTATTTAA